AGTTCACTATAACCCTAACACTGAAGGAACTAAAGAGATATCTATCTAACCAAACAGTATATACATTATCACATTGATAGCAGAACTCATCATTCGGTCTAGATTACAGCTAGGATTACATCTGTGATTCTTTCTTTCAACCTTCCCCACCATCTACCAAAATATGTCTCCTAAATATTGTCACTCAATGATATTAAAAAGTTACTTCCATTGAAAAGTGTCTTCAACCTGAATTCATTATTTCAGAAAGACTACATTATTACATAACAGGAAGGATAAGCCATTGTCTATCCCTTTGTAACACTGCAGCAAATCAATCTGAGTTATCTCCCTTAATTTAGAGACGGTCAATTCAAGGGGCATTTATTCATTGAAAGTTCCTGAATTTCAGTTGATGAAAATAAAACTAAACAGAACACATGTATTCCTCTAGATGAGTAAAAGTTAAACATTACTACAACAGTCTCCAAATAACACCAAATTTATAAAATAATGAAATACTTGAATTTCTGACTTCACCTTGAATACAAATAAATATCATGACTGATTGACAGTATGATCCTCTTTTGAAAAAGAATACAGTAGCATATGACATCAAAATGAAGGAAAGAACTGAAATCTTGGTGAAATTCAACTTATCGGTAAGCTAGCTTATAGTTTATTCTAATTTATAGTTTATATTACTATACTTTTTTGTTGTAAACAAGCGATCACACTGTGTAAATTGTGTATTTTCTTCTTCATCATGTTAACAGAGGAAAACAGTCTACATAGAAAATACTGTGTTATCGTTTTATACCATTCTTCTCTAAAAATAACAAATCTTTTCAAAAAGGATTGCTTGAGAGATGCTGAGTAGTTTTCAAAATGATTTCTTGTAAAATGCGAGTAGTTTTCTAAAGGATTAGAATAACTTCATATCAGACAATTTAGCATTTGATATTATTTAAAATAACTCATACATGTTGAAGTTATCATATTGTTTTAGTAAACAAATGAAAGTATTACCTTACACTTTAAACAATTTAAAAACAAAATATTCAGAAATTGATTTTGAAATCAAAAGCATTAAAAAGGCGAGTTATTTTCACTTTTAAACATACCAAGGTATAACATGATCAATAATTTCAATTTATACAAATTACTATTGATGCACAATTTGCAAATGCAAAAGTTGTCTCTGGTCAAAAAGCTGTAATCAGGTCAGTCAGTTTATTTACATTTGTTATTTCAAAATTCAAGGAACCATGGAAAATACTTCGACTCATGCGAATTTTGTCTCAAAGTGTCCAAATAAAGTTGACGATATCAGTTTGCTGATGTTGATTATGGTTGAATGAAGTACAGGCTACGACAGCTTGGAACACTGTGGTACAAACAGTGTAATTTAACATGTTATTTGAAATGGCAGTAAACAAACAGATTTCTTACTTTCTAATGTTATTGTTCACTCATCTAAATAACAAAACATGTGATAACTACACCAATCAACTAGATTTCTACTCACTTCCTTCCGATATGCATACATATACAATCTTGTTCCATCCCCCCGTCCACACCCCACCCTCCTGCCAATACTGACAAAACATATAAAGATAATATATTTCACTTAATGTCAATAAACAAAACTAACATTTATTGCTGATCAGCTACTAGAAACAATGTATGAAGCTATAGATCACGTTAATATGGTTTTGCCCTCAATAAATTGTTTGATCTTTATCTGCTCTTTGAAAGTTGGATCTTTTCCCTTCTTTTCTCTTCTCTGTTTTTGCTCTTAATGATAAGACATTTAAACATTCCTTTGCAGAAATAGCAATGATAATCTTTACCTGCCAAATCCAAAATGGCCACCTGGAAGCCATTTTGTTTCTTGTGATCAGTCCCAATATCAAACGAGCACAAGAAGAGACCAAAGGAAACATACCTTCTTAAGAAATAGCAATAACAATCTTTACTAGGAAAAATCCAAGATGGCTGTCTGTCAGCCATTTTGTTTTCCTGGTCAGGCCCAAAATCATACTGTCATACTGACACTACTAGGGACCAAGGAGAATCTACATATGAAATTTAAGAAAGATCCCTAAAAAATTTCTCAAGAAATAGCAATAACAAACTTTCAAAGTTGAAATACAAAATGTCCTCTTGTCAGTCATTTGGTTTTTTTTATCAGGCCCAAAATCAAATGGGCACAATTAGGGACCCTGGGAAATCTACACATGAAATCTAATAAATATCCATCAAGTACTTCTCAAGAAATAGCTAAAACAAGATTGTTTGCGGACAGACGGATGGTTGGATGAACGCAGAGCAATTTGAATAGCCCAGCATCTGATGATGGTGGACTAATGAAAAAGGCGGCATTGGAAAGCTTTCACCTGTTATAGAAAACATTATACAAGCACTAGATTTAACAAATCACACAGAGATATAGATCTATGAAAAATGCTTTCAGAACTGCATTGTCCAAGCACTAAATCTAGCAAAGTACCTGGGCACAGTACTTAAGTAAACAAACACAAAAATTAGTTTCTCTTGGAATTTTCGGGATCAGATTCCATCAAAAAGTTTGTACTGTTTTGACGGTTTCATTTATATAATTTCTAAAGATGCAAGCAACCAAGCTCACTGTTTTCATGTCTTGCGTAAATGTGCTACTTGTTTAATGTACAGGTAAGTCACTGCTACAGGATATTGACACTAATTAAGAAGCTAGAATTTAATTAGATTATAAAACTGGTCATTAATCATCACAGACCAAATGTTGTGTACATGTGTAAATGGACCGATATATCGTAAATATTTGTGTTACACACAGCTAACATTCGAATCTGTATTGACCGATTTCTTCAGAAGATGTGCCACTGTTCTGACAAAAATTAATTTTGAGACAACTTATGGCTTTTCACTGTTTTTACAATTGAAGGGACTGAACTTGAAATCCCAGAGAGATCTTGTCACCCACCATTGTTTGATCTTTATTTCTTCTTTGAATCGTGGATCTTTTCCTTTCTTTTCTCTGTTTTTGCTCTTAATGATAACAAATTTGAATGTTAATCCTTTGCAGAAATAGTAATAATAATCTTTAAATGCCAAATCCAAGATGGACACCTGGAAGCCATTTTGTTTATCTGATCAATCCCAAATTCAAAACAGGCAAAACAAGAAAGATCTATTCTCCTTTGCTTAAGAAATATTGAGTGATGACAAACTTAACTTGGCAAAATCCAAGATGGCAGTCTGTCATTTTTTTCAAACCAACACAACTAATGACCATGGGGAACCTATTAGGAAATTTGACAGAGATCCATCTTGTACTTCTCAAACAATATGCTAGCAATAAAAACTTCAATGAAAAAATCCAAGATGTTTGCCTGTCAGCCATTTTGAATTTTTGATCAGTCTAAAAACCAAACAGGTACAACTAGGCACATAAGGGAACCTACATATAAATTTTGAGAAAGATCCATCCAGTACTTCAAGAAATAGCGATAACAAGATTGTTTACTGGCGCACAACAACCACTGAATTAGTGCAATTCTAATAGCCCACCATATGATGATGGTGGACTAACAATCACTTCGACTCAAACAAAATTTCAACACACAGAAATTTGAATTATCTGAGTTCAAATTACAAAGACAATAAGGAAAATAATCAGACCTAAGAGATGGAATTTCAACTCAAGCAACTTCAAGACAACAAATTTCAGTTGTTTGAATTGAACAGGTTTTACATCCACCTTTACAGCCTTACGACACTGACTACACTGGCTACAGATAAGCATGTAGCGAAAGGGGTATAGTTAAATAAGATAAGAAAATACTGTCAAGAGATCAGGCTTTGATCCCAAATCCAGATTGTCATTCCCTTATATGTCCAAGATTTCCAGATTCACCGAAATGTGATCAAGGGAAAATGCATGATGATAGGAGGAATGGAATCTATAATCAATGCTGAAAAAAGGTGGGCCTAGATAAGATTAAAAGAGCTTTTGAAAAATGAAGGTTTCATTTCAGTTTCAAGGCGGCCCATTGGACCCTTCCTCGACCGTCTCTGTGATCCATACAAACAGTTCCAAATTTGCCCTTCACAAATACCAATGAATATCAATTCCTGTCATGATGATGAATTGTGAACAAAACTTCTCAGTCTGGGTTTTAAACAGGTTGGGCTCACACTTCTATAATGTGTAATGGTACTGCATTAAAATGACAATTACTGCTTTGAGTAATAAATTTGTTATTCAAATGCAGAATAATATAAAACATATAAAATACAAACACATTTGCAACAATGAATGTCATCATCTTTTTATCACGGCCCAATTGCTAAAGTGACACTATAAATACCTCCATGAGAACTTCATGTCTGTTATCTAACTTGGTACGAAAATGGCAATTTACATTATCAATTTTTTTCTCCACTTACTGCAGTATATAGCCACAGTAGCATTTAGGGCAAATGTCATACTTGGTGAGCAGGAGTTTCCCTGTAGTCATTTTCAGATGATGAGTTGATAAAGTTTGTGACTTTATTCATTTTTTTATGCAAGTGAACCATGTTTCAATGTTATTGGACCATGTCTCCAGTAACACATTTATCATTCAAGCCGTAACTTGTTACTCAAATGCAGGACTACTACCCAGAAATATTTAGGCATGGCTAAAAGCCTAAATGGGATTGAGAAATTACACAGAACTTGTAAACAGGGGAGAAATCAACATAGGACTTTCTTCATCAGATGTGATACTACACAAGTAACAGAGGTCGTTGTTTATATTATATTGTTTACTTTAACACAATAGTACCGGGATACACACAATACAGTCTTTAACGAATTCATAGGGTTTTATACACGTGTTGTATGCACGTGTAGGCGACACGTACACGGAAACATCACGATCATGTCAACATGTCAACTCGTCCCTGTCAGCAACATGAATGAACATAGTACTCAGCTGTTTATATTCAAATCCCAGTGTACCGTCACTACTTACGTGTTGAGATAAAATGGAAATTTTCTCTCCGTGACTCATAACGATGTTGACCAGTGTCACCTTTGAAATTGGGAGGGTCTTCTTGTTGAATGGGGAAAACTTGTGAAAACCTGTTTTCGTGGCCTATCGTAAATGATGCACAGCCTGTGAAACACCAGGATGATTACGTCCGACTTCTTCGGGTTACAGTATGATAATTTCCGGATATGACCAACTTAATTCCGGATAAGCTAGTAGCAACAACAGTCATCAATTATTCAGACAAGAAATATGCAGATGTACATGTTTATGTTAACGCAGTCTTGGTTGTAATTTGTGTGTGATGCTATTTATATAGAAAACACTATAGATTATTGTTTACATTGATTGAACCAGACTCTCCGCCGCAAAATCGCCGCCTCGCCAACGAATGGAAATAAAATAAGCCATAGGGATTCTTGCGCACCTTAACCATTTGTAATTATTAAATTGGCAAAGTAACTTGTTCCCCCATCGATTTATGCATTTCACGGATGTGGTCGGGTCATTCAGTGCAGTATGCCCAAGTTTGATTCGCATCACCCCAATTTCTTGACCAAATAAAACCGACAGATCTAAATCAGAAGGTATTTGTCCATGGAAAGTCTATATATCGACCATATTCAAAGAAAAATGGTCTATAAGCATTCTCACAAAAAATCCACAAGCTTCACTCGGAACCGGTTGCACTGGTGTCTCATAGTATATACTTCGTGTGAAATACATAAAGTTTGCAGGCCCCCCCCCAAAAAAAAAAACAAAATAAGGAGAAGGAGAGGAGGAAGATTGCGAGAAGGAGGAGGACTACGAGGAGGAGAGGAGGAAGACTGCCAGAAGGAGGAGGACTGCGAGAAGGAGGAGAGGAGGAAGACTGCCAGAAGGAGGAGGACTGCCAGGAGGAGGAGAGGAGAGGAGGAGGAGGAGGAGGAGGAGGAGGAGGAGGAGAGGAGGACTGCGAGGAGGAGGAGAGGAGAAGGAGAGGAGGAAGACTGCGAGAAGGAGGAGGACTGCAAGGAGGAGAGGAGGAGGAAGACTTCCAGAAGGAGGAGGATTGCGAGAAGGAGGAGAGAGGAGGAGGGGGAGAGGAGGAGGAGAGGAAGACTGCGAGAAGGAGGAGGATTGCGGGGAAGAGAAGAGGAGGAGGAGAGGAAGAAGACTGCGAGAAGGAGGAGGAGGAGAGGAGGAAGACTGCCAGAAGGAGGAGGACTGCGAGGATGAGGGGAGGAGGAGGAGGAGGAGGAGAGGAGGAGAGGAGGACAGCGAGGAGGAGGGCTGCGAGGAGGAGAGAAGAAGGAAGAGGACGACTAGGAGGAGGAGAGGAGAAGGAGGACTGCGAGGAGGAGAGGAGGAGGGAGACTGCGAGGAGGAGAGGTGGAGGAGGGCTGCGAGAATGAGGAGGAGGGAGGAGGAGGAGGAGGGTGAGAGGAGGAGGACTGCGAGGAGGAGGACTGCGAGGAGGAGAAGAAAGGTTTTATTCCTAGATGCTAAAGAATAGTGAAGCTGACGACGTTACTGAATTATCAAGGTAGCTCGTTGTTGATAAATAATTACAGAACATAATGAAAGTTACAATTAACACGTAACGGTTATATGCATGGATCGTTGGACCAGAGCACATGTAAACAAACGGTCATACGACACACACTATTTCGTGTCTTCAGTTTGTAATAATAGTGAAAAATACTCCGCTGTCGCTGCCGGGGTTCGAACCCCTCGGTCCTTATTCGGGCGCTCTACCGCTCGACTTCAGGGAAATTTCAACAAGTCGGGGCTACTAAGGCAACTTGTACTTTCAACGTCTATACTGCAAATCTGTAATAGGAAGGAGTAGTGGAAAACACACTGCCATCTCTAGGGTTCGAACTATCGACCCTTTAGTCTCTATCCGGACACTCTACCACTTGACTTAAGGGGAAAATCCAACTCGCCGAGCAGTAAGGCGATTTGTAACAACAACAACAACAACAACAACAACAACAACAACAACAACAACAACAACAACAACAACAACAACAACAACAACACAGGTTCGATATCGCCAAGAAAATAACTCAGTCTCTTACAGTTTGCATCCTGTAATGGGAAAGAGTAATGAAATCACCTGCTACAAATTCCGACTAGCCAAGACTAGTGATTAGTGTATTCATACATGGTATAAATAGACTGAAAACGGATATGACTTGAGATGGAACACAGATCTAGACACTGGCATCGCGCTGTGTATACAGTTTATATTTTGAGGCTCGCCACTTTTGTCTTCTGTCCCGAGCCAAAATACAGTTTATTTTAAGACACTGACCATGCATTCCGCATGTCATTTTTTTATATATATAAATGACTATATCTGACTTCACAAAGATACTCGCTGATTAACAACTAAGTAAATGAATAAAGACTAAACTTCTACTCGACTATCGGGTCAAAACATTAGATCTGACTACTTCTTCCGGCTGTCATTCCTTAACAGTCAATTCGGGGATACCGCGATGCACACTAAGAGAGCTCTCGAGACATATGCAATTATTTCTACTGGATACCATGGGTTACGTCCCCTTATCGAGTCATAGGTACGAGAGCCCACAGGTAGAATGGTGCCAGTCACGGATGAGTGATTTTATTCCGTACAGCCAGAGTTATGTAGGTTTATGTTGTAGCCTACTCAGAGATTACACACAGTACATGTCGAACTTATTTCGACTTAACCCCTGTGGACTCACGGGGAGTAATCACGTGACTTGTAATGATCACGCTTTCACCAGAAGCGGCTCGCCTCGGAGGTAAGTTGACCTTAGTTTGATATGATAGCTTGTGAATTTGAAAATAAGACATAGCCCACGGAAGATGTACATATTCCTTTAGTTTTTTTCCCCAAAGGACAGCATTCAAACACGTGTAGTTTCTGCAAACACTTCGACAAAGTGTCGAGCGAGTTATAATTTTGTGTTGATCACACCTACACTTTTATCCTATCGCTGGAGAATTAGAACGAAATCACATAATTAACGTGTTTCATATGCAATTTTCCATCGTCCACTTGATGTTGTTTGCAAAAGATTATCAATCCAACAGTGAATATGTCTGTAAAACCTGTAAATTGACGGATCTGGTCAAATTACGTAAAATGATCACGCTTATACTATGTCTGTTGGTTGATCACGCTTACACAAAAAAGTAGTTTCATTTTGTGCCTTTGTACTTTTGCCAAAAACCTCGAATGTATACTATTAAATGTGATCCCTTAAATGGGGGAATGACGGATTGACGGTTAAAATAATATTAATTTACCAGCAGTAATGAAACTTGCATGAATCAGTTGAAGTTGTTGGTCGGGGTTGTTGGAACAAACTTTACGTATAGACCACAAGTTACTGATGACAGTATTAGGAGTTACATAATGTTATCAGATTAAACGGCATATGTTATCGATACAGAGATTCAGTATTCTACCCACTTACACTGCTCTCTCTCTCTCTCTCTCTCTCTCTCTCTCTCTCTCTCTCTCTCTCTCTCTCTCTCTCTCTCTCTCTCTCTCTCTCTCTCATTTACATTAAATTTCTTCTTTTTCAATTGTAAATATGTCCGACGGATCACCTCATGTTTGCAAATATTGTGGATAGGTTTTAAGAGGTAGAAGTTCCTTGAGGCAGCATGAGTTACGCCATCGATCAGAGGGGCCATATATTTGTGATGACTGCGAAATGCCTTTCTATAGCAAGAGTGTTTTTGTAACACACATGGAAAAATTACATGAACATAAACGAGAATTTGTGTGTGATGTTTGCAATAATGCGTATTATAGCAAACAAGATTTACAGCGCCATAAAATGCGCGAAGAGGGGCAATTAAAATTTCAATGTAAAGACTGTAATAAGAAATTTAAAGAAGTTCCGATTTAAAAGAACATTCTGGTATACATACAGGCGAAAAAAAGGTTAGATGTAAAAACTGTGGAAAAATGTTCAGATTCAGAACAAACTACCACAGCTTAAAATCCCACGAGACTGAAAAAAGAATACCATGTACAAAATGCAGTAAGGACTTCAAATCAAAGCAAACTCGTAAAGTTCATATGGGCAGTCATACCAAAAGAAGTTTTAAATGCGACATCTGTCAGAAAGTGTTTAGCTCAAAAGGATACATTTTTGATTATAAAACAGACATAGTCAGGTGATAAGGACATTGCTAAAATAACTTATTATTCCACAAAATGAAGAGATTACTATTAACATTTTGTTTGGCAACAGACAGTGTAAGCGTGATCATTTTACGTAATTTGACCAGATCCGTCAATTTACAGGTTTTACAGACATATTCACTGTTGGATTGATAATCTTTTGCAAACAACATCAAGTGGACGATGGAAAATTGCATATGAAACACGTTAATTATGTGATTTCGTTCTAATTCGCCAGCGATAGGATAAAAGTGTAGGTGTGATCAACACAAAATTATAACTCGCTCGACACTTTGTCGAAGTGTTTGCAGAAACTACACGTGTTTGAATGCTGTCCTTTGGGGGAAAAAACTAAAGGAATATGTACATCTTCCGTGGGCTATGTCTTATTTTCAAATTCACAAGCTATCATATCAAACTAAGGTCAACTTACCTCCGAGGCGAGCCGCTTCTGGTGAAAGCGTGATCATTACAAGTCACGTGATTACTCCCCGTGTGGACTGGACATTGTGAACTACAGCCATCTCTTTAATGGGCTAATTTCTCATCGTCCTCTCTACGTCCTAAATTATTTGACACATTGCTACAGTCAATATACGGAGAAATCGTCTGATTTGGTAAGGGGTTATGATAAAGACACCTCTGGATTTGGTTAAGAAGATCCAGAAGTTAAAAATACATTTGAACAGAACAATTGATTATTACTGTAGCAATTAAAATTTGAAGATTAACAATCGAAAACTCTTGATCAAGGATTCGGATCGGAAGGGATCTACAGCATCTACCGTTAACCAGGGACGTCCCTGTGTTCAGTATATCTTAAAGTAACCGATTACACTAAGGAAAAGGTCAACAATTAGAAATTGATCAACCACAGCATTTAAAAAAAAATAAAAAGACCCTTCGTTTCGAAAATGAGATTCCCTTTTCGCTGTTCGACATATTGACTCTGGTCAGGCCGGTCAGTGCAAAGACAGCATAGTAGTGGTAACAGGTAACAAACAAATTGAAGACTTTCACGGCTCAATGAGCAGACACAAAAACCAACTCCAGAAAAGCATCCGCTATTCTCCGTAATATGTCTCTGGGTAAAATTAATTTGCCCTGGGGCGTATATAGCAATTAGTACCTATGTCTAGGACACGTGTCAAGTGGTATATGGGCCATTTTGGGATGGCTGGCGTAGACAAACGTCTCAAATATGAGCTGTGCACAGATGATTGCAATATTGTGAGAAAATAATTACTGTGTGTTCACTATGCCATATGAATATACATGATTTATTATGAATTGTCAATTTAAAAGATTGTTATCCCCGCATATTATATGTAGGTGTCTGTACAAGTGTGTGTGGCACTTGACTGTTTAAGTGGCATACGAAATAGATTTCGATGATATGTTCTGTATAACATTGTACAGTACAACAATTGTCATTACGGCCATTACCTAAGGATCACTTCGTCCGATAGTTATTGACACAGAACTGCTTACACAAATTAGTTATAGAAACACGGATACTGACGGAGAAACAATTAGAAAACAAACAAAGCAAACAGACAACAAAGCAAATAGACAACAAAGCAAACAGACAACAAAGCAATCAGACAACAAAGCAAATAGACAACAAAGCAAATAGACAACAAAGCAAACAGACAACAAAGCAAACAGACAACAAAGCAAATAGACAACAAAGCAATTAGCCGTGACTTGCACATAATCACATCCGTATACTTTTTTCATGAAAATTTAATCGAATAGCTAATATATCTATTTTTGTATATGTACGTCTCGTCCATCTCTTTATAATTCCCGAAAGTTTATATAAACATTCTGAACCCAGATAAAACGAAATCAAGAATGAATGTCTTTGTTATGTTCATGTCTGTATCGTACACTTCTCGTTAAATGATTGTACATGTAAGTATCAATGTCAACATAGTATATACATTGTACACGTCTTCAATAACGCTTGTACATGTAAGTGTCAACGTCAACATAGTATATACATTGTACACTTCTTCAATAACGCTTGTACATGTAAGTATCAACGTCAACATAGTATATACATTGTACACTTCTTCAATAACGCTTGTACATGTAAGTATCAACGTCAACATAGTATATACATTGTACACTTCTTCAATAACGCTTGTACATGTAAGTATCAACATCAACATAGTATATACATTGTACACTTCTTCAATAACGCTTGTACATGTA